TTTGCATAGTATTATTTAGTAGGGTTTTGTTTGTGCAAATGATATTATTAGAAATAACTATTTAAATTTAAATATTATTAATTATTAATTAAATTATTAAATAAAGCAATTAATACAATCAAAGCTATCATTGAGTAAAATCATATTCAATACCCACATGCACACACTAATTCCTAATTAATGCACCAATTCAAGAATAATTTAAATTTTTACTATCATAAAACTGTTTTTATTCACTAGGTTTTGATTTTACATGCTATAAAGGCATATAAAAGACAGCTTAAAACAGTGTTTCTCAACCACATTCCCGGAGGACCACCAACACTGCATGTTATAGATCTCTTCTTTGTCTGTTACACCTATTACAGGTCCTTCAGTCACTGCTAATGAGCTGATGATCTGAATCAGGTGTTTGATTAAGGAGACATGAAAAATGTGAAGAGCTGGTGGTCCTCCAGAAACATGGTTAAAAAACACTGGCTTAAAATACTTCAAAATGGCAAAACGCAAACAAAAAACAAAAACAATAGAAATCCACAATAGGTGTCTGAAGAAATTTTTGCAAAGATAAAACAAATAAATATATCAAATTAATTAAAAAATATATAGTTCTGTACATCTGTACACAAAATACATTGTTAGGCCATACTGTGATAAATTTTAATAAAAGGCAAACCTCATTAATATTCATCAGCCAAACTAGTAAGTTTCACATTAATTCCGCCTTGGCATCACATGACGCAATTGTTAGCACGATCGCCTCACATCAAGAAAGTTGCTGGTTTGGGCCCCGGCCCGGCTGACTCAGTTGGCATTTCTGTGTGGAGTCTGCAAGTTCTCACCGTGTTGTTTTGGGTTTCCTCTGGTGACTATGGTTGAATGAATAAGCTAAGTTTCCCAGTGTTGTGTTGCGTAAAACATATGCTGGGTAAGTTTGCGGTTCATTCTGCTTTGGCGACCCCTGATTAATAAAAGGACTACGCTGAAAAGAAAATGAATGAAATAATTCTGCTTAGTTTGTCAGATTCTTTTTACGTCCTCATTTTGCTACTTCAGTGTCTAACTTTAGTAGAATTAGTTCACAGAAATCAAACACACATGACAGACAGAACTCAAACACATAAATAGCTGGAAAATGTCATCACACTGCGAAAGCTAAACTTAAATTTTATTTTGATAATTTATTTTTCATTAATTATTAATAGTCTCAACTAGGTCAGAGAGTAGCAAAGAGTCACATCTCCCCGAACACCCATGTATCTTCCGGCTTCATGTGTATGTGTGCGTGTGGTGTGTGTGTATGTGTGTGCGTTTGTCCTTCAGTAACCCGCCATAACCAGCAAGGAGACATTTCTCTAAACGGCATGCAGAAGGAGAGGACATGTGCGGGGTTAGGGACACGGGGATAGGGCTCGCCAGACCAGACTCCTGGATCCCTAGAGAACCTGAATTCCTGCCTCTCTGCTTGGCATTTCTAGGTCACTTTGGATGCCGAAACAGTCCGATGCCAGTGGGAAAGACATCTATATAAAGCCCGCACACCTCATCTGCTCTACACCAGAGCACAGGACATGAACATGACAGCCACATGTATTAAAAGTTTAATGATACTTGCCAAGCAGGCCACATCGTGCTGAAAGTGTGTGTGTGTGTGTGTTGGGGAAATGACTTGGATGATTTATGACTGCTTTCATTTTATTTTGTATAAAAATTGCATTTAAGCATTCACTTTTGTAATCAGATTGCGACTTTTGGTGTGTTGCCAAAGGCTTTTGCGAAGCCTGTAAAAGCACTCGACAAGTGATGCATACATGAAACCGAATGTAATCAATTTAAAACGCATAACTAGTTTTCAAATTCTGATGATTGCTTAAATGGAATAACATCTTGCTGTGCTATTGAATCTCGTTTCTTGCTGGTGCTATATGGGTAAATAATTAGGCTGAGACACACATCGCCTTCCCCCTGAAAAATCATGAACTCAATCGATGTAGGTTATTTCATGCACTCCATTACTTTTGAGCTGCTAAAGTTACTCTTGGCTTTTTACAACCAAAAATAAAGCCATAAATTAAGATGAATTGTCACAACAAAACAAAACAAACAAACAAAAAATTATAAACCCCACTATTTTTTTTATATATTTACTTGATTTATGATAAATTTAATCATCAATATTGTGAAATACTATTACTGTCCTATTGTTACATTTTACTAAAAAGTTATTATGATGTTATTTGATGGTATTACCATAGCGCATTCATTATATGCCATGATTAGTGTATTGCAAGCTACAGTATATTCACATACACAACATGACAAAAGTCTTGTCCTCAATCCTAGTTGTAAGAGCAACAAGTAATAATTGACTTCTAGTTGATCAATTGGAAAAGTGCAGAAGGTAGATTTATCTGATGAATCATCTTTTGAAATGCATCCTAATCATCACAAATACTGCAGAAGCCCTATTGGAACCCACATTGACCCAAGATTCTCACATAATCAGTCAAGTTTGGTGAAGGAAATATCATGGTTTGGGGTTACATTCAGGATCTGGAGAGTAGATGGCAACACCAACAGCCTGAGGTATCAAGACATTTGTGCTGCCCATTACATTACAAACCACAGGAGAGGACAAATTCTTCAGCAGGATAGCACTCCTTCTCATGCTTCAGCATCTATATCAAAGTTCCTGATAGCAAAGAAGGTCAAGTTGCTCCAGGATTGGCCAGGGCAGTCACCAGACATGAACACTATTGAGCATGTCTGGGGTAAGATGAAGGAGGAGGCATTGAAGATGAATGCCATTCCAGATGACTTTACTAAGTTATTTAAGTCATTGCAGAGATGTATGGATGTACAGTAGTCTTCCAAGCTCATGGAGAGTCATACAAAATATTAATTCTTTTTCCACAGCACCATGACTTTATATGCTAAACTGGACATTATTTCTGTTAAGTGACAAGACATACTAAATAATCAAGGCATGATCATATTTTATTTTTGGTAAATTAAGCATAATCTAGCTTAATTAGATAATAATAAGATAAAAAAAAAATAATCTTTACCTTTCATATAAGCCACTTCTGATACCAAATGATCAAGAAATCAAGTTATTTTTTGTTGTTCCTAAAACTTGGACAGGCGACAAGACGACAATAGTGTAGAGAAACTTTATCTCACAATAAAAAAGCTCACACACTGTAAAAAATGAATGCTCAAATTTGTTATATTTTGAGTTAAGTTAACATATCTGGATTGAATGTGCTGACATAACTTGCAAATCAAATAACTTAACTACTTCAAATATCTGAGCTTTAAAAAAATATGTGAAAATGAAAACAAATAAATTTTTAAATAAATTAATCCACTTTAAACGTGTATTTGCATGCGCTTTGTAGTTATATACTATTTAACTATTCATTTTTAATTATTGCACAATTTTTACTCAAATTTCTATTTGTTTTCTTTTGGATGATGACAGATGATGAACATCTTTCTAGAGGTTAGGAATTTAATTGTGCTGAATGGCTTGGTTGTCAAAATTTGGGCGAGTTTAGCATCAGTTTGGATGTTTTGAAAACGTATTTTTTGTTAAATATTTAACTAAAAAACAGAAATGTTTGCACATCTGGGATTCTTAAAGGCAGGTGCTTGGTCTAAAACAAACACAGTGGAAAAGGTCAAAAGAAAAGTTTTATTGTAACAGATTTTCAACCTATGTGGTCTTAATCAGGTGAAGACCATTTAGCTTGAAACGATATTACAATAAAGCATTTTTTGAGAGCTAAAGTGGCAGTGTGCCAAATATTTAACTAAAACCAAGTGTGTGTACTTGTTTATCATTTTTGGTATTTTTGTGCGTTCGGGAGGGTTTTGGACAGTTTGGGCTGGAAACATTTAAGTGTATCTGGGAACACTGACCGCCTTTTTCTTATTGTAATGTTGTGGGGTGTGTTTGTCTAAGGTTATTCTAAGATACCTGTTCTTTGGTGAAATTTGTTTTTGGAGACTTAGAAACTTGTTTTTAGGTATAGGGTTACATTGTGGCTCAGTAGTTACACTGTCGCCTTACAGCAAAAAGGTCGCTGGTTCGAGTCCCAACTGTGCTAGCTAGCATTTCTATGTGAAGTTTGCATGTTTGCGTGGGTTTCCTCTGAGTGCTCCAGTTTCCCCCACAGCCCAAAGACATGTTATAAGTCAACTGAATAAACAAAATTGGCTGTGTATGTGTGAATGAGAGAGAACTTCAATTTTCAAGTTCACTAAACTTAGACCACGTCCATTGCACTTGTATTGTCAAGGCAGCACCTGCACTGAATTTTTTTTAATTTGAAACAACTCAAATTATTTTACAGTGCAAAAGTGGGCATACAGTTGTATTCATTTCTTTTTCTGGCTTTTTTTTTTTTGTTTGGCCAGAGAGAGTGTGTCTGTCTGTGTGTCTGTTTTCTGTGTATTTCTGTTTTCAATAATTTCAGGCTTGACTGCATATATATATATATATATATATATATATATATATATATATATATATATATATATATATATATATATATATATATATATATATATATACATACATACACACACACACACACATACATACATACATACATACAGTCAAGCCTGAAATTATCTCACATGATAAAATTGACAGAGATTTCAGAATTTCAGAAGCATTGCAAATTTACTTAGGTTACATTGAAACGAGCATTTTTTAAATAATAAACAAATAAATAAATAAATAAATAAATAAGAGGGAAAAAGTAATTAGGGGGATTAATAAATTAATAATAATATGCTGCCAGTGTATGAATCGTGTACTTCCTAAAAAGTGCATGTTATCCGAGTACAAGCATTTTTAAAATGTGATATAATCTAATTAGAAGAACTAAAGTACTTTAAAGTATATTACATGATTTAGCTACTAGTGAGTGAGTGCAGAAAACAATAGTCAAAAATAATACTTGACATAAATGACAAAAAAAGGTTCTTGCCTGGTTAAAAGGAGGTGAAAGTGGGTGTCCGGCGAGGGCCAGTTTAACAGTGGTCTCCCAGATATACTCTCCTGCTCTGTCTCTGGCTGTCACCATGAACTGGATGGGTTCTGTTAGATTCGTCACATCTTGCTCTGCGTAAAGAGAGCCATCAGGCCGAACGCTGAACTTTGGGTCACTGCTCTCAAAAGAAAGCTCCTCTATTCGGTGACAGGTTTCAAACTTCACTGCAGGGAAAAAATAAAAGAAAGAGAAGCATAAAGTGTGAGAAAAACAAAATAACAATGAAAGTATTATTGCTGACAGACTTTAAAATTGGTTTAATATGATCTTTCATGCTCTTATTCATACATTTGTCAAGGTCTATTTCCCCGGCTTATTAAATAAAACATCAAGACTATATACGATACAAAATAAATAGAACAAACTGTAGTTATTACAGTTAAAGCGAGCAGCATATTATTGATTCTTCATTCAGAGTCACACAGACCAATAACTAAATAAAATGAATTATATATCTAATAAATCATGGACTAAATCCAATACTATAAGTAATGTACTGGAGAAAAATGTGTAAGGAACACAAAGTACTACTTATATAATGTGCAAAAAGACAAACATTTCTTCAATTCTTGCAATTTAAAACATTAATCATGTTTGCAACATCATCAAAACTTAAACAAATATATGAAATAGTGGGAAATGTTTGGTCAAGTGACCTTCCTAAGAGTTGGAGAAGGTCAACTGCCAGAATCATTGCTCATTAAAACATTTTCTGATGATGCAAACCCGAGTAGTGCAGGATTTATATATTTTTTTAGCTTGTAAAGTTCTTATGCAAACCGAGTGAGCTAATTTAAGCTTCTGTTTGCAACAGATTCCTGACAGAGGAAGTGTTAAAATTCAGTTTCTTTTAAAACAAGTGAACAGAATGAGTAAGTCATATGCTTTTCTCTCGCTATGGTTGTTTGGAAATGGTTCTGGTCAACAACAGCAGATGGTCTGTTCAGCTACACCTGAGGGAAAGTTCCACAGCTTCAGCTCTACTTAAAGTGAACGAGCGAGCAAGCGAGAGGGAGAGAGAGGGAGAGCGAGCCATGTGCCACGTCTAGATTAATCACAGTTTAAATATTAGAGCTCTCTTTCACATTCACCAGAAGTTCAGTCCTGAAACTTAAGTAGATCATCTGTACTCTAAGTACTGAATGTGGGACACTGCAGCTAGTTTTAACAATTTGAATACTTCTCAGGGTACAATAAGTTATTCTCAGAGTATAATAAGTATTTCTTTTGCATTTAATAGACACTTTTTTATGTAAACCAATCAGCATTTAATTAAGTCTATACATTCCATGGGAATCAAACTAGTGACCTCGGCATTGTTATAACGATGTCTTGCTGTTTATTGTATATTTAGATGTTCGCATTTAATAGTAAATAGCATACACAGTGGCTGACATTGCATTTTAGATAAGGATTCAATTACAATCATGGATTCTATGGGAATTATACTCATGACTTTGGCATGGCTGTAATTTAATGTTCTACACTTCTTGACAAATGTCTTGTCGCCTACCCAAGTTTTAGAAATAACAAATAATAACTTGACATAGTTGATCATTTGGTATCAATAGTGGCTTATATGAGGCAAAATCCTCTAGATTACATTCTATTTTATCAAAACAAAATATGATAATTTCTTGATTTTTAATTATTTAATTAGGACAGTAAGGTCTGAATTTGCTCAGACAATAGTCTTGTCACTTAATAGAAATAATGTACAGTATAGAATAAAAAGCCACGGTGCAGTGAAAAAAGAATGGATGTTGTGTATGACTCCCCATGAGCTTGGCCAACTACATTTATACATCTCTGCAATGACTCAAATAACTTATTAGTAAAGCCATCTGGAATGGCAAAGAAAGCTCCCAGAGTTCATCAAGATTCTTTGGATACATCTTTAATGCCTTCTCCTTCATCTTACCCCAGGCATGCTCAATAATGTTTATGTCTGTTGACTAGGCTGGCCAATCTTGGAGCACCTTGACCTTCTTTGCTTGCAGGAACTTTGATGTTGAGGCTGAAGTCTGAGAAGGAGCGCTATCCTGCTAAAGAATTTGCCCTCTTCTGTGGTTTGTAATGTAATGAGCAGCACAAATGTCTTGATACCTCAGGTTGTTGATGTTGCCATCCACTCTGCAGATCTCTCGCACACCCCCATACTGAATGTAACCCCAAACCATGATTTTCCCTTCACCAAACTTGACTGAATTCTGTGAAAATATCGGATCAGTGTGGGTTCTAATAGGTCTTCTGCAGTATGTGTGATGATTGGAATGCAGTTCGACAGATGATTCATCAGATAAATCAAAACATATTAAGATCAATTAAAAGTAAAGTTATTATTTGTTGCTCCTACAACTGGAAACAATGGCAAGATTTTGTCAGGTAGTGTACTGTTTGAGCTTTGAAAAACATATATTTTATTCAAATTAATTATCAGTCTTTTTAAGGATACACAAATCATATAGTTAGTGCAAAGTTTACTGTTTGATATACATTTACTTGTATGAATTAAATACTTTTATTTGAAGTCTTTTAGTTATCAGCTAAATTTGCACTCATGCATTCAACTAATATTTTGTTCAAAGCGACAAACATTGTATTTATGAATTTACCAATCTATGTTTATTTACTCAAAGTTAATTAATTGCATTCAAGGTAGACATTTTGTCAGTCCTTGCTTTTCTCAAAAAATTATCCCATAACCCTGTCCTTGACAGCACAGCTGTTCACTTTCTGAGCTACATTTATGTATGCATTTCATAGACCCAAACTGACTTTCTGCAATTAACATAGCAACTAGGGTACATACTTTATTAAGTTTACATAAATCACATGATTTTGTCATTGCTACCATAATGTTCTGATGCTTTTTTGAATACTTTTCATTCTAATATTGCAATGCAAAATAATTTACAGCTAAAACATTATACTGAAGGACAGAATGTTACACAGAGAAACCCAAGGACAGAAGGCTTTTCAATCTAGAGTCAGTGATCTAAAACCACTAGAGAAAATACAGTTTTGAGACACAGTGCTTATGACAACTAACTCCATTCTCCCCCATGCATTAGAGACACTTCAGTTGCATATTGTTCTGATTGTGTTCAGAACTGTGGTCTTCCAGACTTCCAGTACTAGAGGGTTAAAGCGTTCCAAATAGATTTGAGTGCCGCTTCTCTCATTTCTTTCTTTCCCCAGGATTGAAAAGAAAGAAGGATGGAACTAAAATCACTTCCTACTGATTTTATCTCCCTTCCACAATCCCACCGATAACAAGACAAATTGATTTCATAAATCACCATGGGACCAGGTCACTTGTTAGGAGTGCTGGCGAAATGTAAAAAAAATATATATATATAGAAAAATGTGCCATGAAATATCTTGCACGACAAGCCTTTTATCAAGCCATCTATCCAATTTGCCACACGGTTTCCTGCCAGAAGATGCACCAAAACAACAGGCTAATAAAGCGGAGAATCCATTTCACCAATTGCAGCATGGCTCACTGAACGTTCCAGAATTTTGTCTGGTGAATAATTGCAAATGGGAGGGGAAGAGGCTCATACGCAGTTTTCAGAAAGAGCATCAAACCACTTACACACAAAATAAAACAAAAAAAACACGCTCTGTACTTTAACAAGCTCTGCTCAAAATGGAAAAACAAAGTGCATCATACAGGAAAAATCACAACTGTTTATTCCATCAGGCCTCCTGAAGACGTCTAGAATCGAGAATCTGAGTGATTTTGCTGTTTGGCAACCGTCGCAAATGGTCTGAATGGACTAATTGCAGCATGTTGTTGATGGAAAAAAAATAAAGTTAATTCAACCCCCACCCCCCATTCCTTACTGAGCATCAACAAAAACATCTGCCAGCAGGGAAAGATTAAAAAACACACTCATGATAAAAAAAGAGAGATGGATGTTTTTGTGAAGCAACAACGGCAGTCAATGTTTTTGTAAATTAGGCTAATTTGCGTTAATGGAATGAGCTAATTATTGTCATTGATGGCTTTTTGTCACTCTACAACTGACACACAGAGGACAAACCTCTGGATCAAAGGACAGAAATCAAGCCTTGAGTGTTCGCATAAGAATAATCACTGGATTCACAGAAGCTGCCCCTTAAGATTGTTCTGTTGGATCCGGATGCTAGCAGGAGAAACACTGAAAAGGTCAGCATCAATGTGTTGCTAAAAAATCCCAACTACACTTACAGTACGTCTGCTGTAATGTCATTGCGGATAGTGCGGATTATGCATTCACCCACATACTGCATCAACTGCTCTATTTACAAGGTTTATTAATGCAGCATTGAACATTGCAGCCTATTAGATGCTTCCATTGAGCGCATAAATGCAGTGACCAATGAGGACATGCTCACTGACTGCATTCTGTACTCGTGAAAATGTTACAAATAGCATATTAATTCAAATAATATGTTCACTGTGCAGTGTAGACAGAGTTGGGTAACACTTTACTTAAAGGGGTGTTCATAAGACTGTGAATAAACCTTTATAATTATGACATGTTAGGAGATTTTATGCATGCATATAACAACTGTCATTAGGAGTCTTGCTCAATTATGACATTTTCAATGAAAAGATAACAATGTTTGTCATGAAAACTTGACAATACCGAGGCAACAAAACTTGTCAAAAATCTGCCATGAAGCCATTATGAATGTGTCATGAATTTTATAAGACAATCATTATTTTTTTAACCTCAACTACAGTGGTACAAGCTAAATTTTTCATTAAAATGTAATTAAATAATAATGGGTGCATTAAATGATTTGACAGAGTAGTGACACTTTCAATGAGGCATGTTAATGACAAATACAGTTTGTTCCATTTAAAACGTCATTAGAATAATGACACAATTATAATGCCTCATGACCAGGGTTGGGCAATAACGCGTTACTAGTAATGCATTACTGTAACGGCCTTACTTTTGACAGTTACTATTACAGTAACGCATTACTTTTTTAAATATATTAACCCTGTTACCAATACAATATGATGCATTACTTGGTTAATTAATTAGTTTTGGCTGCAGTCTAGCCTACATCTTCCTGCTTACATTGCCGACGCATTGTGGGATTGGTGGATGCCAACCAACCACTGTAAAGAAGACATGTTGTGTATGAGGCGCCAGACTGG